GCAGGGAGCCCGATGCGGACTCGATCCCGGGACTCCAGGATCATGACCTGAGCCGAAGGCAGTCGCTTAACCAACTGAGCCACCCAGGCGCCCGAATAGACTGTTTTCATATAATTCTTTACTGATGCCCCCCCATGAGACGCCTCAGGCAAGTACTTCTGCTTCCGTTTCACAGAGAGGGGTCGTGGGGCTCCGCGGGGTGAAATGATCTGCGAGGGCACACGGAGACTTTGCCGCTGAGTCAGGTGTTCTAACTCTGGGCCTACTGCTCTTTTTGCTGTCTCTGAATTATTTTCAGAATTGGACAGGCTGATCAGGGAATGAGATTTATTCATCCCCCTCCCCACCCTGGTTGTAAGACATGTGTTACAACATTGATTAGAACGAGCCCCTCATGTCTGCTTCTCACATTGGTGCCATTTTCACAGATCTGGAGATTTCTCACTCTAGGCTGAGAGAGGAAGACTTGGCAATACCTCAGTGTCCTCAGCTATAAATAAAATGGGGCTCCCTGAGAAACTTTCCACAGTTAAGAAGGTGGGTCCATGAAATTTTCATTTCCTGGGCTCTTTCTTTCCTCTCTTTAGACAACTTTTCCCCTCCCCCTCTCCTTCCCTTTCATTCTCCCTCCCTCTCCCCTCTCCCTCTCCCCCTCTCCTGCCCCCCTGCACACACAGACACACACACACACACGTGCACACACATGGCCTCTGGTCTTAGATCCCATTCTGGCCTGGCTTCCTCTTCATGTCCCCTCTCTTCTATGGTTTAGCCATCTTTTTGCCATCCCACACCTCATTCACAGCTTCCTGTGTACCCTATTTTCTTTGGGACCGGTGTTCAGCTTGCAGGCCTTCGCAGGTGAGGGTCTGAAAGAAAAGCTAGTTCTCGTGGGTCTGAGTTCTCGTCTCTCTCCACTGCACACAGAGATGCTCTGAAAGCTGTGGCCTGGAAGAGTGGCACTTTTAAGGTCTGCTTTGCTCCTATAGCAATTTTGCTCAAGCGTTTCCTCTGGCCTCCCATGGCAGCTCACCTCGTGTGAAGCAAAGCTGTAGAAGCCATTGGGCACAGTTTCTAATAGCTCCTGCTCTTCAAGAGAGGAAAGGGGTCCCAGCTGCCTCTGAGGCTCATGGCAGGAGACATTCTGTCACCAGGTGAGGATCCATTGTGCAGGAGGCAGGAAAATGTCTTTAAGATCTTTCATCAAAAAGGTGGAGTGGGATGATGAATAACAGCGTAACAAGCCATAAATCAACTATTTCAAAGAGTCATAACTTCCTCAACACCCTGATCAGAGGGTTCAAGTCCTGGTTGGTTCCTAGCCCTGGTCCCCCACCCCCGGCCACAGAACAGGCCTATAGAGAGCCATATGGCAACTTTGATGAACTGGTAAAAGGAGTCCCTTCTTCATTACCCTTTACTCTCATTTCTCAGAACTTGTGTCATAACATGTTCATTTTTTAGAACAAGTTACTTTAATGCCAACTGCCAGAAATTTTAGAATGAAGTATGCAAATTTATAATGTCTATGATATTTGAAGCATTCTCTAAGTTTGGGCAGTGCACAACCCACATAACTGTACATAGCAGCCCCAGACAGAGCTGCTCAAAGAGCGGTTTTTAGAGCAGTGTTAGAGGTGCTGATTGGTAGTTGGTTTCTGTGTAAAGTAGCAAAGATGAAGATCAAGGGTAGCTGTTACTCCAGCTGCCAGCTGACAACGGCCTTGTGCTAACTGTCAGCTCTAATACCCAAGCCAAGGAGTGAGAGTTATGGCCCTAGAGAAATGAAGGTTTCCAAAGGGAAAGGGGCAGCCTTCAGGGAAGTGCTGAAAGACAACACCCACTGAGGGGTGACGCTGGCTCCAGAGGCTGTCCAAGCTGTTTTCCACTTGAATTTGGTCTGGTCCTCTATCTTAGAGACACTAGTTCATAAGGTCATGTAGTGCTCAGCTAGGGCTGAGCCTGCTCCATGGAGAGAAGCAAGGTGGGACAGGGAGCAGACCACCTCCCAACACCCTGCCCTGCAAGGGGTTAAATGATGGAAAGCAGTCTGAGGGATCCCATGTGAAAGTGTGAGTGTGTGTGTGTGTGTGTGTGAGTGTGTATGTGTGTGAGAATATGTGTGTGTGTGAGAAAGAGTGTATGAAAGAGAGAGAGAGTGTGTGTCTGTGTGTGTGGTGAGGAGCAGCAGGGAGACCAAGATGACCCCAGCCCACAAAGGGAGCAGGCTTCTTTTGGTCTCATGCCCCAGGGAAACTCTCCAGCCTTCTTCCTACCACACGCCCCTCAGCATGACAGAGTCGTGAAATGGCCGACACAAGTCTTGGGGTCACACTTGAGAAGCAAGAGCTCTGGGATTAGAGAATTCAGAGACTTTTGCTTCTCAATATAAGATACTGTCCACAACACCAAGAATTTGAGTGAACTTCCAAAATGACTTTAGACATCACAGACCCAGAGGAACATGGAGGTGCAGGAATAATAAAGAGGGATGAGGTAAGCTAGGGCTTGTAAGTAACCTAAGTTTGGTTGGTAAGCTTGAAGCCACAGTTAGATTTTGACTACTTGGACAATAGTTTATTAGTTGACCTCACGTTTAGTGGTCAACCAGTCTTTGTTGACACCTCTGTTTGTCTTTTGAAACCCAACTGCCTGACCCGCCTGGAGCTTAGAAAGGCTTAAGAGAGAATCAACCTTATACTTGCCTCAGAGTTAAAACTCAATTTGCAAGAGAGAATGATGGTGTAAGCAGACACCTGTAGCTCTTTCCAAGTCAAACAGGGCAGCGTTGCTATTTCACTTTAAATGCATTCCAAGAACACCAGACACATCTGTAGGTACAAAACCCAAAGCTAAATATAAGACTGTTTGGGTTTTTTAAAATCACCATTTTTGAGTCACTAGACTGCAGTTACTCCCTAATTCAGCCGCGGCTAAGCAGCTGCTATCCACTTCATCTCTACCCAAAGGGCACTCAGAGTGTCTAGTGATTCATCACTCAGGTGTCTGGTTAAAATAGAAGGAAAAGAAGACATCAGGCAGGAAAGGACAGCGCTGGATATTTGGGGTGATACAGTTATTAACCGATAGCTTTGCATAGGACTCTGAGCTTCCAGCAAGACAGAGCAAATAGACTTGATAAATTCTAGAGTTCCCATTTTCTAGTCAAAAGTAATGTACAGCTTTGTCAGGCAGGACACAGCTCAAAGATCTAGGAGCAGCTAGTTGTACGGATGCTCAGATGCAATTTCCTTTCTTGTCCTGTTATGATTACTAAGATGGCACGAATCTGATGGGATTCTTCAGGATTCAGCCACATGGCTTCCCTGGCTCTTGACTCTGAAATTCCACAAAATGCTTTGCCAGTAGCCAAATCCAGCCCATCTGCTCAGTTCACTCTGCAGTAAGTGGAGACTTGGGAGGGGGCTGGGTGTCCTCCTTTCTTCCTTGATCTTGCCTCTCAGTTTTCTTAGGTCAATTCAGGATGCTGGAAGCAGTGGGGACCCAGAGGGATTAGGTTTACTTTACCTTCCAGAGGGAACAATGTGAAAAGGGCAGGAAAATCATATTGGGATCCTTGCTTTAAATATAAACCCCATGACTCCTCATGCCAATGTCAGCCACTTAAGGACAGATAATTGAGTCCTAGGACCAGCCTGGTGCTCTCCATGTAGCCTGGGCTACCCTAGCCTGACCATCTCCGAGGTGGAAAGAATAGAGACGGAAATCGATAGAAGTGTAAACACACTGTGGCTGGCATCTCTCTGCCAGGAATCTCTCTTCTCTTAGATTGAGACCTTCCAGGACCCCCTGAGTTCAGGCCTGATCCATTTCATGGCATAGATTTTAACTTTTTTTATTTTAGAGAGAGAGAGCACACGTGTGAGAGAGAGCACGTGCATGAGAGCAAGCGGGGGCGGGGGGCGCACAGGGAAAGGGAGAGAGAGAGAATTTTAAGCAGGCTCCAGGGTCTGCATGGAGTCCAATGCAGGGCTTGATCTCACGACCGACCCTGAGATCATGACCTGAGCCAAAGTCAAGAGTCGGAGGCTTAACCGACTAAGCCACTCAGGCACACCATGGCATAGATTTTAGAAGTAACAGTCATGAGAGGCCAGAAAAAAATGTGACTGAGATATTGGCTAGGTGGAGATCAGCTCCTGGTACTCCTGAATGATGACCTGTTTAGTTAAAAAGTGAGGTTTCTGACCTGTACCCTTTTCCCCCATCACTCTCTCTGAGGTCATAACCCAGGCTGTGCAAACAAAACAAAACAAACAACAACAACAGCAAAAAAGGGGTAAAATCCAATTACCAACAACATCAGTAAATGAGCAAGCAGATAAGCCTCGACTTAGGACTTTGGTTTGCTTATAGATGCCACGTGCTCGCATACATGTGCATTTACACCAGGGACACTGCTGGAGTTTCGCGGTCCTGATTCCTCAAGCCGATCAAGTTGTCTGATATAGGGAAGAACAAGAACCAGACCCTAGAGCAGGGGCCCATGAACCCTCTGAAATTGTGCATAATATTTTGGATATGTGCATATGATTATTTTTCTGAAGAGGAGGTCCATAGTTTTCCCCTGATTCTCAAAGGGATCAAAGGCCCCAAAAGAAGTCAAGAGCCACTGTTCTAGAACATTACAGCTGAGAAAGGTGTTTGTGGGAAGTGGTTCAAACTCCCATTTTACTGAGGCCCAGAGACGTGCGGCTGAGCTGAGACTAGAAGCCCACTCTCCTGTCTTTTGGTGCTGTCAACAGAGGTTTTTCAAAAAAGAAAGAGGCAGCCATGCTCTTTACTTAAATAGGCCCCCAATTCCTTAT